AAGAAGTTAGGAACCAAAACAGACAATATGGACGATACAAAAAGGTTAAATAAATGGTAGGTAAATAGGTAAGTAAGTAAGTAAATAAAAGTTTAAGATTAAAACAAAACCTCAACAGAAGGTTTGTTTAAACAGAAACGTATCTCATGGAGTTCCATGTCTGTCCTGCCTGCTAGCATCTTGCTGTTATGTGCTGATTGTCTCAGGGGCATCTTTACACAGCCTGCACACCTGCCACACCAGGTGAGACCCCAGCCTCTATGGATCTTGTGCTTAGATTAGTCATGATTGTCTTTCAGTCCAGCTCTGGTAGGATTTCTGTAAGTCAGTCACTTCCTCTACCTGCTGGTGGCACGTACCGTGCAGGGCCCTTCCACGATGGTCGATCATCTCCTTGCTGCTCTTCTTTTTCAGGGTTTCTGCTTCCTGAGGTATTTACTAAGGGCTGATGTACTCAGAACAAGGTCTTGATGTATGTTGCAGTCCTGTGCTCCATGCAGCGTTAGCTTTGACTTCCTGATAAAAATGACTAGAGGTGGACAACTCGACCCAAATGATACCAGCACTGGGACTGGTGTCAGACTGGAGTACTTTCTATCCTCTAAGTCCAGCTTCAAATATCCACTCTGGAAAATACCTGAGCCTTTCTTGTATTCACTGTCACGTTGATTTGATTTCTAGCCTGTAGCACATTTAAAACAACAGAAAACTGTGGAAAGTAAAAAAAAAATGATGATGACTGAGCTCAAGTTGTTGGAATGGGCAATACTGGCTTTCTTTGGTATCAGGTAAACATTTGCAGCAACGCACAGCACTACAAACTAACTTCAGTTCATCTCAGGTCCTTGATTTCCTGTTTGGTTCTAGCCCCACCCACAGACAATCTGTCCCACCAATCAGGACATCAGAGTAATTTGAGTTTTACAGTTTGGGCTTTCAAAGAGTTTTTTTTTTATTTTTAAAAAAAACCTCTTACAGTTTCATTGTCTCACTGTATGATTTTATCCTCAGAGAGGGCAAAATCGAGTAATCGATAGGCTAAGAAACTTTGTCCTGCAGGTTTACCACACATTTGTTCTGCAGGAGAAAATCAGATCAGTTTTAAAGCTGCTCCAGTTCTCGAATCTAATTTAAATCAAAGTTTTC